CCCATGATCTTACTAAATGGTAGAACTGGCTAGAGGGACCAAAATTACTTAGTGCTGCACCTATTATTATGTTCTTACTTGCAGTTAGATAGGGCTTCTCACCAGCAGCAAAGTTTCAAAGTGCCTTACAGTCTACAAAGTATTTTTTTAAATGGTGTTACTGTTCTAATGTAGAAAATGCAGCAGCTAATTTACACTCAAGCAAACTCTTACAAACATTAATGCATTAATGAGCAGATATTCAGTTTTTTGTGCTGCTTACTATAAGGTAAATACTGGCCAAGACCTTGAGCCATCTCAGATGAAAAAAAGACTATGCTGAAGAGCCTCAATAGCTCTGGCAGCATCTGTGGAGAGAGAAAAACAGAGTTAATATGTCGGGTCCAATATGACTTTTCTTCAAACTGGGATATCTCCCCTGCTGTCCTTCAAAATAGTGCTATGGGATATTTTACATCCACCAAAGTAGGCAGTTTAATACCTCATCCTAAATGTAACCCCTTCAACAGCGTGGCACTACTTCAGTACTGCACTTGAATGTCAATCATGATTTATATGCCTGAACTGTTGACTAGCACTTAAAGACTTTTTGACTCAGAGACAAGAGTGCTACTAACTGAGCCACAGATGATGTTGTGGTAATGATTCATGGATATTCATTACTCCACATGAATTTCTTTTAATTACTTTGAGAAGGTATTGAGAGATCCAGATGAAGTTGCATAGCTTGAGAATGAGTATGAAAACAAGCAAGATTATTCCTATGGAGAGCCACTATAAAGCATAAATGAGCATGACTAAAAGTCAAAATGCTGTACCAGTGGAAGAAAATATTAGTGATACAGCAAAGGAAGTAATATTAGCAACAAAAAAGCAGCTTTACTTTAAAATTCCATTATGCATGTCATGATAACATTGACAATATACTGTAGGAAAGATCTGTCATGCCCAGATTACAGGAACAGGCTTGCAATGGACTGGAAAAGATAATTCAACTCCATCAGACCAATTGGCATTTTAACAAATATATTCCACAACATCTGCCATATCCCTCTATCATTTAACCCCCTGATATTGAACTCAAATTACTGTTGAACTTGTCTATATAATCAGACCACTCTGACTCACACAACACTTCAGTGCATAAATTCACCATTTTCTACCCGACTGACTTAAGTCAAAATTGCCTTTTGCCCTCCCACTTCTAAAATCAAGGCTATGCTGTCTCGTAAAATGTGTGACTATTTTGAATGTATTCCTTAGAATCTTGAATGCTCGTGTCTTCTGTGTTGTAGTATAAACATTTGCAGTTCCTGCAGCCTCTCCTCATATCCCAAGTGACTAGTTATAATTATTGTTCTGTCTCAGTACGGACTTCTAATGTGTAAAGGTACAATATACTCATCATAGAAGGGCATGGTGTGGAGTTGGTAACTTTTGCTAAGAGCCAACCTCCGCACAACAATTCTTCTTCAACATAGTGCTGTGGGATCTTTTATACCCATGGAAGAGGACAGATGGGGCCTTAGCTTATCATTTCATCTGATACAGAGTAGCTCCAATACTGAAGCACTTCCTCAGTACTATACTGAAGGATCAACATGGGTTTGAAGCTCAAAACTCCACCATTGGTTAATATCCCATTTGATCACATCAAAGGAAAACACAGTTATTCACTGAGAAGAGCAATCCCACGTTAAATGAAGCACCAGAAAGGCACAGGTACTTTGCAAAATTAGCTAGTCGCGTGTGCAGTAGTATTATTAAAATGGGGGAAACATGAGGGGTTTAATTTGAGCTAACTTATATAAGGTGTATGTCCATCAGAGAGGTTGTTTTCCTTGAGTTTATGAAGATATATTTAACTTGCTGGATAGGAAACAGACATTTTTTTGGGAACTTTTCTCACATCTTAATCAAATTCACACTACAAACAGAGGGCTGAAAAAGGGTTGCTTTCCGAACCCTGCCAATTCCTACTTGGCGAAGTCAGTTAAAATTATCCCATAAGAGTCAAGGCATTTTATGGCAAGAAAAGAAGTCTTTTGGCCTGTCCTGTCCATTGTGATCATCAAGCAAATATCTACTCTAATCCTATTTTCCAGCACTTGGCCTGGAGCCTTGCATACTCTTGCCACCTTTTAGGCACTGAGTTCCAGATACCCTCAATCCTCTGGATGAAAAAGATTTTCCCTAAATCCCCTTTGAAACTCCTGCTCCCTACCTTAAAATCTATGACCTGTGGTTATTGTTCCTTCAACTAATGGAAAAAGTTGCTCCCTTATCTATTCTGTTTCTGCCCCTCATATTTCATACACTGCAATCTGTCTCAGCCTTCTCTGCTCTAAGGAAACAGCCCCAACCTATCTAATTTTTCTCTGAGACCCTAGCAAATCTTTTTCCAAAAGAATTAAAAATTAATATAGAGATAACACAGTGTAGAGCTGGAGGAACACAGCAGGCCAGGCAGCATCAGAGGAGCAGGAAAGTTGACATTTCGGGCCGGGACTCTTCTTCAGAAATTTCTGAAGAAGGGTCCTGACCCAAAACGTCAACTTTCCTACTCCTCTGATAATGCCTGGCCCGCTGTGTTCCTCCAGCTCTATTGTGTATTATCTCTGACTCCGGCATCGACAGTTCTTACTATCTCCAAATTAATATAGATTGTCTCCATTATAATAATAGGCATATTCTGGCATAAGATGGTACTCATGGTTATTCAGTTGTTTGCATTGCACACTACCCATGAAGAGGGAGTAATACCCAATGGTAATTCCAGTCTTGATTCCAGTAATAACACAGTTTTAGGAGCAACTCTGATGAATCATCTCTTTGCTTTTACAGATGCTTAGGATGTTTTCAATCTCCAAGTGGCAGTGAACATTAGTATCATATGTACTGAAGGAAACTTACAGATTTTCAGTGTTATCTTTTCAAGTAAATCACTTGCCATTATGTTGTTTCATCACCTTCAGAGCACAACTTATACATTCCATTGGCATTTTCAAGTTATTATACAGTCATGCATTAGTGACCATAAATAAAGTAAGAAGGACAGACTAAGCAGAGGCAGTGTTGGAGACAGCGGCAACAATAATCCAAATTACAGCCAAATGACTGCCTAACTTGTCCTTGATATATTAATTTCCTTTTTTGGAAAAATGTCTTCTAAATTTATATCCTTGACAACTCAGGATGGGTAGTAGGCATTCTTGTTTTCTGCCTTGCACCTGCTGATTCAGTTGGTAAACATAGAATCTTGCATTTCTGTTTTTGTAAGGTCATTATGTTCGTACCTTGACTTTCAAGCCTCCAGAACTGTGCTATACTGGTTGTCGGGGAGATGCAGCCAGAACTGGGTGAACGAACATGAGACTAACCAAATGCTAGCAGGCTTGTTGCCTGTTGCTGCGGCCTGCCGCTGCTGATTGGATAGCTCCTACTTGCTTTCTGTTAGAGTTGCCTGTCTGTTCTCATTATTGACTGGCTGACTGTTGATCTATGCTTTTTTCACAAAATCTATTTTTTACAATTTTTATGTTTTAACAGATTTTCTACAAACATATCAAGGAGGTAGCAAAAGTTGAAGAGATTTAGCTTCTGCAAGTATTTTAGTTTGAGGAAGTCCTTTAGTTTGATCTGTTCCCCTTTATCTGACTACCTGTTTCAGGTATCTGTTTCTGTTCCTCTTACCTTATTTAAATACCTTCATCATGTACTATAAACAATAGTACCCTTTATAAAATGTAGTTTGTATATTTGATTTGTTAGGGTATTCCTAATATGCTTGGTCATTGTGCTTACTTATTAGTATCCTGGTATGTCATGGTGACAAACAAAACTCTCATGAGATACAGTGAAAAGGAATGATATTCAACGATATATTACTTATTTTCAGTCATAATTCACTAACACGCTAATAAATATTATGGAATTCCATATGATGCAAACAGAATTTATGAACCTGCTACAAGTTGGACATTTGTTACAAGTGTTGTCAGAGACACAGTGTAATAGTACCAGGACTTAATAACAAAAAAACTGCACTTGAGTCATTGATTTTCAACTTAGGATCCCCGGGCTCAGAAATCATTAGTCTTGCAGAACATTCTGAACTTATTTTTGTATTTGACTGAGGATCACATTCTTTATGATACTGTACATTTAGAAACAAAACCTTCAGCAATAATTTAGTGATTTTTTTACTTAGCTAGCTATGGTAGTTTTATGTTTAAGTGCAAAGATCCATTGCCAATAAAATTGCAAGATTCCTGTAAGTATTTTAACTTTAGATGTATTTGCCCAATTAATAAATAATTGAAAAAACACAAATCAAATCAATAAACCTCAACACCTTGTGCTTTTAATTCGTTATCTCAAACTACCCAGTCGTCACTGGTGACAGACATGTTCCCATCAGTAGTTCCCAATCCAGCTTTTATACTGCTGTTTGCAGAGCCAAATTAAGTGCAAGTGTTTTTAGCATTTGGCTAGATGCCGCCATGGGCTTTGCTAAAGATCACAGTATGAGTCCATTTTGAGTCGGTATCCAATTGGACGCTGTTCCAAGTCAACTTGGCCCCAGTTCCAACTTCAGGGACTTCCTGATACTGCCGACAGGAGGCGCTGCGACATGCGGGGGACGCCCCGCCTTCTGTACCGCCCATCGGCACTCGCACCAAACCGATTGGCAGACGGGTCCGTCCGTTAGCGGAGATGCCGCCCCGATTGGCCTCGCTGCTGGACACACGGCTCACCAATGGGAATGCGGAGGTGGGGAGAGCGTGCGGCATGATTGGCTGGGAAGGGGAGGAGGAGGGCCTTCCCTTCGCGCCCTCCCTCTCTCCACAGCGGCGCTGGCTCGGGGCTGCCCTGGAAGGTGTGAGGCCGTCACTCGGACGGTGAGTGTCTGCTTGCTCGGTGGCGACGGGGAGACAGCGGAGCGGGAGGTAGACGGTGGGGTGGAAAGAATGCTTCCATTCCCCCCCACCCCCCCAAAAAATATATTTTTGAAGGAACTGTGACACCGAATAGTTTATGTTTGATTTTTGTGGCGATTTTATCTTGTCAGGAGAGGGAGGGATTTTTTTTACCGGGGGAGGGCGGTTTAAAAGGCCATCCACACAGCCAGAGGGGGACAGAAAGACTGTTAGACGGTGCCGGGGATGGCAGGGTCCAGAGCGGGGAATGGCGGCGGCCTCGTCAGCCGCTGCTGAAAGGACGCTTTCTCCGGGCGCCGCCGACACACACCGGGACCGGGAGACTGCAGCCGCCAGCCCACCTCAGGTGAGGAGAAAAAAAATAATTACCGGCCGGCAACAGGGAGACACAAACACACGGTACCAAGAGGGAGATAAGAGTGTCGGTCAGCAGCAATCACCCGTGTTTATCATTCTCTTCACTCTCCTCTGCTTTCCACACAGGAGATATGTTTGAATGGGTTATAAATAGAACAAAGTCATTGCTTCCAGTCCTCGTTCGAGAGCAAATGCACCCTTGGCATTGGCAATCACTTCTGCAGATATCATTATGACTATAAAGAAAGCTTCAATTATGTGACAGTTTACTATAAATATTGTTTAAAAGGTGGGTTGTCATCTTTATAGCCAGGGCAACGCCGGGAATGGCTTCATTTTTTTCTGTCTGTCATGCTATGGTCCAAGAAAACAAAAGGGTATAATGCGTGTTACTGTATCAGGTGCAATCATTGCCAGGGAATGCTGAAATGAATGGGTGTGTGCAGAGTTTGCTTCCAGGATTGAGTGTTACAGGACGGATTCGTCACCAGTCAGGAAATTGGGATTTCGTGGAGGACTCAGTGGTGTAAGATATTTAGGACGTGTACATGATATCCCTGTGGTTCCATATTAAAATCAAATCAAAATACTATCTGAGGCTTCTGGAAAACAGAAGATTAATCTGGAAAAGGAAATAATTTTGAGATGTCTGTAGATGTTTGAAATGAGCATGTCATTTGACAATTTTAAAAAAATAAAAATATCACCTATCCTGTACTTGTGGGGGAAAATAACCTGATGAAAACATGAATAATTCACAAATGTCATGATAAATCATTCATTTCTGTGGAATTCTAAAATATAAATGATGTGCAAAAAGACTTGTTTGTAATTAAATATTGAAAGCTGTTGACTTGCTACCTGCTGTCTTCCACTGTTTGGTTTAAAATAACTCTGCTTGCCATGTGCATAATTTTAAATTTCTACACCCAGTGTAGATATTATGTGTTAGTTATGTATAAAACTAACAGCTTTAGATTATTGCTGAATTTTTTTTCCTTCTTTTTGGAATCTAAAAGTGAGGTTAGCCACTAGCATTAAATATATTACTTTAACATTTATATTTTAAAATAAAGGGAAGAGGAAGGCAAGCGATTAATTGGGTGAATGTAAAGTTGACAAGGTTTGATGCCAGGTAAATCTTGCCCAGTGTTCCATAGAGACTTTTTATTAAAAAAGTGGGCTAACATCAAATGTAGTCTTTCTCTGATCCCTGCAATACAGATGAGCTTCAAGACGTGCTTTTTACATATTTCTTGAATGTACAAACTTGTATGCCTTTACATGTCATGTAAAATACAGAGGACATGCCCTCTCCAGGATACATAATATTTGAAAATATGTACATTGAGAGCTCTGAGCACACACAATTATTTACATTAGGTAGAGTTACTTGTTGGCAGAGTTTCTTTCTGTCAAGAATGGTGTGTAGTAGGGAAGGAAGGTAATATATTAATTTTTTTTATTTTGAGAGCAAAAAATTCCAATATTCCAACATTGCTTTGACAACTTTGAATATAGCCACATTATATGGATGTTAAATTTTAACTTTCCCCTCATCACTTGAAAAACCGAATTTTCTGGCTCTTAGAATTGGTTACTTTTGTCTTAAGGATGGGAATATATTGCGTGTTTAATTTGATGAGAATTTTACTTGTCACATTGGGTTTTCACTTGTGAAAGGACAAAGAAGTGCCAATGTAGGAAAATCATGTTTCTTGGAATTACAGGCTGCAGAACTGTAGGAAGTAAAATAGTAGAGAAATAAATATAGACTAATGATGGTGTCAGCATAACTTTGAGAGCTATATTATGCCTGGTAAATCTATTGAGTTTCTTGGCATAAACATTTTGTGAACAAGGGAAATTTTAATAACCTTGGTGCAGTACCACATGTAACAAGGTCAGAAAACAAGTGAGGTGTATATAATGCTTCTTGTGTGGAAATTGACTGAATTATAAGAGGCATTTAAAAAGAATAGCTTAATGAGGTGTTGCATGGAAATTCGAGAAAGTGACTGGAATTGTACCATGAGGATGAGTATTTGGGCTACCTGTTTAACTATGATTTGGAACGGAATACCAAAATAATTATTTGTATCATGTTAGCTGATGGAGATCTGGTAGATCAGTTTTCAAATAACAGACTGATAGAATCAAGGGCTTTAGAATTTGGACAGGTTGGGCTATTGTTTGAGCAGCACATCTGGCTTAATGTGTTTAAGTACTGACTGATGAGTGTAAGTATTGGAAATGAAGAAATAACACAAAATAGTGTACAGGGCACAATATAAGGGTCTGACAATGTGTTTTCTTTTAGCCAGTGATGGGATGGGGAAAGTGCTCTATTTATTTTCCTTCAAATTTTGTGGTGAATTACCTTCATGAACTGCTGAAGTCTGTGTAGTGAAGGTCTATGGTGCTGAGAATATGGCAGTGGCATGATTTTGACCTGCAATGATAAACAGATTTGTCCAAGTCATGATGGTGAGGAGGAGGAGAACTTGTAGGTGGAGGTGTTTCCATGTACCTGCATTTTTTGTTCTGAATGGTAGTTCTCATGGTTTTGATAAAGACTTGAAAAGTTGCTGCAGTGTATCTTGTAAATAGTACACATTGCCACCACAATGAGCCAGTGCTAGAGACAGGGAATGTTTACAATGGTGGACGTCATGCCAGTGAAATGGGATGATGTTTCCTCGTTGGTATTGAGCTTCTTGGGTATTGTTGGAGCTGTACTTATTATGGTAAGTGGAAAGTATTCCATCACACTCCTCACTTGTGCCATATACATGTAAAGTATTTGAATGGTTTGAGGATGAATTATCTGTTGCTGAATATCTACCTCTTGTACCCACGTTACTTAGCTTTTAACAATATAGAAAAATGAATTTTTATTTAGCTCAAAGAAGAATAAGACCCAAAAATTGAGTGTAATGCTCCTTATACATATCTTGCCCCTTCCTGAGTGGAGGCTACAATTTTGTATGGAATTACCTGACATTGGGGAGGCACAGCAAAAGGGGACTAGGTTGAGCATTTGGAATGTTCATCGTGGATTTCAAGACATCTTATTTGAAGCATGTTTGCTGATGGGGGGGTCAGTCAACAATCAGTCAATTGAAAGGGGAAACTATGCATGCAGGCAGGTGAGATTAGTTTAGTTTGGCATGGGGTTGGACTGAAGGGTCTGTTTCCATGCTGTATGACCCTGACTCTGTTTATCCTTTTGAGGTTTATGTTAAAAGGAACAAGGCCATAGGAACACCCAATGGAGTTTCTATGAATAATAAGGTAGCATTTAAAAGTACAAAAATAATAGCAAATGCAATGGAAGAAGGTAATCACATGACAAATGTGGTGTGAAAGAGAAAAAAGGGTAACACTTTTGCATTTCAGTTTGGAATTCTTAATTTGGAGAGTGCGTTGATTGCTGTTTCACAGGTGTCCTTTTTGTTTCATCACATCCCTGTCACCATTGAAAGGTGGTGATACATTGCTGTGTTGGACTGCTGTGGTCCAGATGATGAAGATTCTGCAATAATACTTTCGGGGAGGAAACTCCAGAATTTTGGAGTTAACTTTGCTTATCTCCACAGTTGCTGTCAGACCTGAGTTTTTCCAGCAATTTCTAATTTTATTCAGGATAGTGTCTGACTTACAACTTCTTTGACATGCAGCTGCTACCCTTGTTCTTTAAGGTGGTCGTAGGTACTATTTTGGTGAATATTGCTAAGGCAGTCTTGTTGATTTGCTATGAAATGTTTTGTAATTAGTAATGTGGCAGCCAGAGTAAGCCACGGAAACTCAACAATAGAACAAACCCTAAATGCTTTGTACCTTAATACATAAAGCATTCAGTATAAGGTAGATGGACTGATGGCACAAATCAAGGTCACAAGGACTTTAAACAAGTTGGCGTGGGTGGGGTTTCTGTATGTTGGCAGGGCTCAGGAGAGGTTATAAAAATTTTCAGAACAAGTAATAGGGCAAGAAAGTATGGAAAGGCTCAGGAACATAACTTCAGGCACAGCAGAGAAGGGGGCTGGTTGATGCGGGAGTGAGTATATTGTACTTAAATGTGCGCAAAGTGCAAAACAAGGTAAATGATCTTGTGCAGTTGGAATTGGTGGGTATGATATTTTGAGCATTAGAGATGTAGCTGCAAGTGGATCAGAGCTGGGAATTAAACTTCCAGGATAAGTGTCCTCCTGAAAGGACAGGCTGATGGTCAGAGGGGGTGGGCTTTACTTCTTGGTAAGAAATGAAATTAAATTGGTAGCAAGAAGCAATAAAGCTCAGAAGGCATAGAATTTGTGTGGGGAAAAATTGTGGAACCACAAAATAATAGGTCTATGATGTGAGTTATGTATTGGCCTCCTAGCAGTAGTTGAGATTTGGGGTAGAAAATAAATCGGGAGAAAGAAAAGGCCTTTAAGAGAGGGCTATTACGATAATCATAGGGGCCTTCCATAATCAGGTGGACTGAGCAAATCAGGTTGGCAGTGGAGCTTAAAAGGAATTTGTAGAATGTCTACAAGGTGTTTTTTTTTCTGGAGCAGCTTGTGATAGATCTCACTGGGAAATAGGCAGTTCTGGATTTGCAATGTGTAATGAGGCAGACTTGATTAGGGAGCTGAAGGAACCCCCTGAAGGATAGTCACCATAATATGGTAGAATTAATGCTGCAGTTTCTGAGGGAGAAACTTGAATTGGATGGAATGGTATTACAATTGAGTAAAGGTAACTAGAAGAGCAGTAGTAAGATGTGGCCAGAGTTGATTGGAAAGGAAGGTTATCATCAGAGACAGTGGTGCAGCGACGGCAGGAGTTTCTGGGGGTAATTTGGGAGGTGCAATGCAAATTCCTTAAATGTAACCTTCCTGTTTAAGAAGGGAAGGAGGCAGATAAAGAGACATTAGATTGGTTAGCCTGAGCTTTTTTGTTGGCAAGGTTTTAGAGTCCATTATTAAGGATGAGGTTGAGGAG